TTCTTCCTTTCCGTCCCTGTTCATTTATTTATATACACATAAAAACATGAAGGATATAAAATCAACACACATAAAAAATAAGGCATTTCTGAACATCAGTGACAAATCTCCTGAAAGAGAAACTAGGAAAACCACCCCATTTATAACAGCCTCAAAAAAATAAAATAATATACTTGGGAATCAACGAAAGAGGTGAAAAGACCTCTACAATGAAATTTACAGAACACTAAAGAAATAAATTAAAGACCTTAGAAGATGTAAAGATCTCCCATGTTCTTGGACAGGCAGAATTAATATTGTCAAAAAAACTATACTGGGGCTGAGGTTGTTGCTAAGTGGCAGAGTGCTTGCCTAGCATGTTTGATCCTCAGCACCACAATAAATAAATAAATAAACAAACAGATATTTTTAGCCTAAATTTTATTTCAAAAGCAATGGTTCTACAGAATTTGCAAAAATCTTTAACACTGCAAATTCTTAGGAAATTTAGGTGTCATACAGTTTATCTGACGTTATGAGTATTTGTATACTCCCCACAAATTCATGTTAGGTTCTTGCCCCCTATGTGATTTTTGAATTCAAAATTTATTTGGGGTTAGATGAGAACATAAAAGTAAAGCCCTGGTCTAATGAGATTAGTGCCCTTAGAATAAGAGACAATAGAGAACTAGCTCCCACTCTCCATATCACAATGAGGGCACAAAGACTGAGTAAATGAATTAGTAGCATCTAGGCCACCCATCTATATTTTTAGCCACAAGTGACTAAAAGAACATGTTTTAGGCCAGGTGCAGTGTCATAAGCCTATAATCTCAGTGGCTCTAGAGGCTGAGCCAGGAGAATCGTGAGTTCAAAGCCAGCCTGAGCAAAAGAGAGGCACTAAGCAACTCAGTGAGACCTTGTCTCTAAATAAAATGCAAAATAGGGCTGGGGATATGGTTCAGCGGTCTAGTGCCCGTGACTTCAATCCCCAGTACAAAAAAAAAAAAGAAGAAGGACAACGCTTTAGAAAAAGCATATTAAAATAATAAGGTCTATTTTTAAACTATTATTAAATCAATTAATACTTAAAAATCCATGTCCACAGTCAGGGTATGGCATAGCTCAGTAACAGATGCTGCTTAAGATGCACAAGGCTCTGAGTTCAAACTCCAGCACACATATACATAAATAAATAAGAACAAAATGCCCTGGGCTAGGGTTGTAGCTCAGTGGTAGAGTGCTTGCCTAGCCCATGTGAGGATTGATTTGGTTCAATCCTTAGCACCAAATAAATAAATAAATACAATAAAGGTATTGTGTCCATTTACAACTAAAAAGTATATATGTGTATATAAATATAAAATATATTAAAAGACACAGACACACACACACACGCACACAAACTGGCTGGATGCTACTGGAATAGTCAAATTAGAATACCCTTACATTGTGGGGGGCTATAGAGATTAGTATTAGAGTCAACTGGGTAAAGAATCAAGAGTCATTCTCCAGAATTAAAGGCTAATGTAAAATAGCAAAATATTTTCATATGGATTACCAGGTAGTCTGGGGTACAATATCTTATTATATTATAAGCTTTATTTTGTGACTATGTAAGTGACATTTATTTATAAGCATTATACAGGAGAAATGATTTGTTCAGTACATCAAAAATACGTAGATCTTTATATTTTTGAAGGAAAGCTCTATACTGTTTTATATACCCTAGTACTAAAAGGATCATTAAATATTAAATACTTTTGTATACTTTCACTGTTTCGCACTGAACCAAAAACTGCTCTGAAAAATAAAGTCCACTATTAAAAAAATTTTTTAATACAATGAGCAGTGAGACTTTGAGTTCCCTTATCTGTGAGGTTTTCAGTGAAATGTATGTGAATATGTGATTTTAATACGGTTTGTGAAGCAAATGAGACCCACTGATCATCCACTTTTGAACTCACAATAATATGTAACAGCAAACTATTACTTTTAAAAACTCACTTAACATACTGCAAAGCAGAGAATGGATTGTGCAATATAGTCATATAGAAAATTCATATTAAATTCCTTCCTTTCTTTTTTCCCTTGATTAATCATAAATTTCAAAGACACAGTAATGATACAGGAAATTTTTAAATAATTAAATTCATTCAAAGAGTAGTATTTACAATTTTTTAAACTGAAGTGTTTAATAAATTACAACCAAAGTTCCTGATTTTTAAAACTAGATGTAGGGCTGGGGATATAGGTCAGTTCTCAGAGTGCTTGCCTCACATACACAAAAGCTGTGAGTTCAATCCCCAGCATCACACATACACTAAGTAACAATTGATCTATTTTCTATTGATAACAATCTTTATAATATTCATTTTTAAATGTTTGTTAACTTGCCAAAAACTAATTCATCAATTCATATATTTTAGAATTTAAGTTAGATTGTGCTTTTGTATTTGTTTTGTTGACAATTGTTTCACACTCCCTCCTCAGATACAAATATCCTTGCAGTATGTAATTTAGTGACTACCAATTTGATATCAAGGTCCACTGTTTATATCATGGGTAAGAAGAAAGCAACTCAAGAGCATACCTTTGGCCAAGAACCATTAATCCCAGATTTGTAGAATATTGACACTGGCTCAAAAAATATCATTCTAATATCATTTCCCAGAGTACAGCCAATCATGTGATTACAGTCACTTATGATGCTTTTGACTATATATAAAATTTTTCTTTGGTAAAGGATTGAACCCAAGGGGCTTAGAACCTATACCAGCCCTTTTGAAATTTAAGAGACAAAGTCTCTCTTAAATTACTGAGGCTGGCCTTGAATCCTTCTGTCTCAGCCTCCCAAATAGCTGGGATTATAGGCGTGTGCCACTATATCCAGCTTCAAATTTTATTTCAAATTATGATCTATTGCTTCATTAAAAACAAAAATTAGGGGCTGGGGATGTGGCTCAAGTGGTAGCGCGCACGCCTGCCACGCATGTGGCCCAGGTTCGATCCTCAGCACCACATATAAACAAAGATGTTGTGTCCGCTGAAAACTAAAAAATAAATATTAAAAAAACTCTCTCTCTCTCTCTCTCTCTCTCTCTCTTTAAAAAAAAAAAATAATAATCCCAAGCCCTCAGAAGGCTGATAGAGGATTGAGGATCGCAGTTCAAGGCCAGCCTCAACAACTTAGTAAGTCTCTAGGCAATTTAGCAGGACTGTCTCCAAATTTAAAAAAATCAAAAGGGCTGGGATACAGCTCAGTGATAAGGTGCCCAGGAATTAAATCCCCATTATTTAAAAAAAAAAAAAAAAGTATGGAAATGCATGTACTTTATTGGAGATAAAAATTATTATGAATATTATATTCTATACATACATATTTTTAAAATTTGGTACTGGGAATTGAACTCATGGCTGCTTTACCACTGAGTTACATCCCTAGCTTTTTATTTTTTATTCTGAAATAGGGTCTTGGCTAAGGTGCTGAGGCTGGCTTCAAACTTTCAATCTTCCTGCCTCAGGCTCCTGAGTCGCTGAGATTACAGGCATACACTACTGTGCCAGGCAAAAGGTATTTTTAAATATCACCATCTAATGCTGCTAACTCTTGAGAGAAGTCAATAGCTTAAGTTGTGAAAGACTAAAAGGAATTTAATTAACAACTACACCTTCTTTAGAGCTTTGAGTCCTTTTTCTTGTTTTAAGTCTTTTTTAAGAGAGGTCTCAGATAACTGTGATAGGAATAAATTAGTAAATGACTTTAAGGTTTTGTTCTTGATAGCAAGACAAAAGGCTGGTCCTCACTTTTCCCTTGCTACCTTAAGCCTATCTATACTGTGTAGGTTTTGTTATTGTTACCATAGTTGCAAGAGCTTCACAAGACACCAAATCTGTTGATGGCTTATCTTGGACTTCCTAGGTTTCAAGCACTGTGAACAATAAATTTCTGTTGGTTATAAATTCCTCAGTCTAAGATACTTTGTTGTAGCAGCCCAGATAGACTAAGATAAATACCAAAATACTTCTGTGAATATTGAATTCAATTTAAATTCATGAAACAATGAGTTATTTCTACAGACCCTTCCCTACAACAGAATAACTTTGATACACAGGACAGTAGAATCACTGAATTATGATTATGCTAAGTACTAAAAAAGAAGAAACAATATTATGGGAGCTAATTTCTGGCAAGAAAACTACATTACCTTTCAGCACTAGTTTGTCCTGTGTGAAAAAGCAAAGAAAACTGAAGATATCTTACAAAAAAAGCAGACTGTAGAAAATAATAATTCTGCTCAAAAGCGCTAATGCATTATTCTAACATCCTCATGAATTAGCCCAAAGCTAGGTATGTTTCAATCAACAAAACTAGAAATGCTTCCTTCAGGCATGTTGACTTGTCCAACAGAATAACCTCACCTTGGATTTATTCCAAAAGAGGCTCTCAAATGCTCAGCAGCAACTCCTGAAAGGAGGCCAGTCCAAATGTAGTAGGATAAATCCCCCCAAAAAGCTGAATCTCTGACATAGCAACAGGTGACCCTTGCTGTAAAGTTAGAGGATAAGTACACAAATAAATTTGTATTACTTTATCTATTAAATTTTTAAAAATGCAAATGGTAACACATGTGCATAATAATCTTTAGCAACCAGCTGGGAAGATTTCAAGCCTCAATCTTAACTTGAATATACACGGGCTATTATAAAACTACCCTCAATTTTAAAATAATTAAATCAGAGACTCCTAAATAAAAGTGAAAAATCATGAACACTTCTCTATAGCTAGAGCTATAGAGAACGACATACAGAGATATACAGTGTGTGTGTATGTGTGTGTGTGTGCAGTGTATGTGTGTGTACGCACACGCGCATGTGTTGCTGAGGATTGAACCAAGGGCCTCAAGCATGCTAAGTACATGCTCTACCACTAAGCTACAACCCCAGCCCAACAGGCTATTTTTAAAAGTATTAATATGGGAAATAAATATGCAGAGAAATATATGATGGACATCTCTTACCTCATAAATGTTGGGGTGCCACATTTTGGTCAAGAATCTGAAGGTAGGTGGTGAATATGGGTAGTCAATAGGAAATTTAATATGTGCCTGTAAAGAAAAAAAAATAAATGCTAATAAATGAGACAAGTTATTCATCTGCCTAATAATTTACCCAATTACACCACACAGAATCAAAGCTTCTTTCTATAGAATACAAACCTAAGAATAAAACAACTCATTTATACTATGTTATCCCCAGTGCCATAGGGTTACGAGCATGTTCTCAAAGCATGCCTTCAAATATTTATAAATGACTATGTTAAATCAAAGTTCATAGCCATTTACAGCTATTATAATTCTTAATTCATAGGGTGATATGTGTATTTTTGTATCCGTTTATAGAATACAGAACAAAGATTTTTTTAACTTTTTAATTTAAAAATTACCCCCTTACTCAGAAAAAATAAATGGAACATCTTGATGTAGTTCCTTTCAGTAGTTTTTTAGGTTTATACATGTTCATTTCCTTATAAAATTCATCTTTAAACATTTGAACATACCCTATTTTGTACTCTGCTTTTATTACCTATATCTCATAAGTATCCTTTCATGTCATAAGTTGTTAGTATTAACATATTATTCCATGTAGATGAATCATTTTTTAAAAATATTTTCTGATTTGGGGGCATTAGACTGTTTTCTTATTCTTCGGCTATCATAAATACTATCATAGCGAATGTCCGTGGAAAGATTCTCATTTAAAATAGCAGGGAATTCTGAAAAATGACCCTTGAAAATTCTCTATTGTACAAAAGAAATGAGAAAATTGCCCAAAATTGTAAGAATCAATGTTTTCAGAATTCTAGAAGACAACCAAAAGTTTGTAGCAATTCAGGGAGTATATATTCAATGAAAATGTCTAAGGCACAATAAGAACAACAAGCTTTCTAGGTTTAATTCTGCCTAGTTCAATACTATAGCTCTGCAGTACCTTAAACCAAATACCTCACAGGGTGTGGTGGTACACATTTGTAATCCCAGTGGCTCAAGAGGCTGAGACAGGAGGATCTTGAGTTCAAAGCCAGCCTCGGCAATGGCAAGGTGCTAAGCAACTTTAGTTTCTCTAAAGAAACTACAAAATAGCACTAGGACTGTGGCTCAGTGGTCAAGTGCCCCTGAGTTCAATCCCTGAATCCCGCCCCCCCCCCAAAAAAAAAACTCATATTCAAACCTAACAGGCATAGAAGAAAACACTATGGTCTGGAAGTTCCTTAAACTTTACTCTCCTCAGGGAACTGTTATTATTGGACACAGCTACTGCTTGGAACCTGACCAATAAGAAAACATTTTCCCTGGAGGCACATGATTGTTTAACTTCAAAGCTGCCTGAGTTGGGAGTGGGAGGACAATAAAACACACTAAGGAAAAAGAAATAATTGGGGGCTGGGGTTGTGGCTGAGTGCTCCCCTAGCACAGGCGAGGTCCTGGGTTCGATCCTCAGCATCACATAAAAGTAAATAAAGATATTGTGCCCAACTACAACTAAAAAATAAATATTAAAAAAAGAAAGGTATCTTAAAAAGAAAGGAAGAAAGAAATTGGAGTACATATCATTTGTAAAGCTCTGACAAGTTTCTACAGATCTAGAAGACCATGCCAATGTTTATAGGTACATTCTTAAGGCTCTACATATGCTCAGGAACAACTTGGGAAGGCCCCAAGCTCACATCTATGACTTATGCGCAAGTAGGAAGTGAAAGCTAAGGTAGAGTCTGCAACAGTTTGGCTGTATGTTAAAAGGCATGCTCCAACACACAGACAGCCTCTTCACAAAGCCCAGGTAATCCATTGATTCCAGCAAATTAAGGAAATCTCTGTATAATCACTAGCTGACAGAATARAGAATTCACTGGCTATAAGAAAAAATAGAGGTATTATAAAATTAGTCTAAAATAAAGTCACTAAACAAGCAATTTCAACAGTAACAAAAACAAACCTGAGGAAGGGAACACTCTAATTTCTACAACTGTCAAATTATATTATTTAAATATCCAATAAAAGAGTATTACAGGTTAAGGCTGGGGCTCAGCACTAGTGCACTTGCCTGGCATGTTGAGGCACTAGGTTCAATCTCAGCACCGCATACAAGTAAATAAAATAAAGGTCTATCAACAACTGAAAAAAACCTTTTTTTAAGTATTACAAGTCATTAAAAAAAACCGTGATTCATAAACAAGGAAAAAATAATCAGTATAAAGCAAAGGTCCCAATGCTAAGTTTACTGAACAAAGACTTTGAAAGACTACATTAAACATTTCAAAGTATTGAAGGAAAGCATTAAGTGTCTTATAACATTTCAATGGAGGGAGGGGGAAGAGAAGCAAGAAGAAGAAAAATGATGACACTGGATTCTGAACCCCTGAGTTCTGGCCCTGGTATTCTTTTCTAGTCCTCTACCTTTGGCAAATCACTTAAATCTCTAGACTTCAATTTCCTTTTTGTATGAAATAGTGAAAAAACAATGATTAGAAAGTTATCATAAGGGGCAAGATGGCACATGCTACAATCACAACTATTTGGGAGGTTGAGGCAGGAGGATTGCAAGTTCCAGGTCAGCCTCAGCAACTTAGTGAGATCCTAAGTAACTTAATATGACCTGTCTCACAATAAAACGTAAAAAGACTGGGAATGTGGCTCAATGGTTAAGTGCCTTAGGTGCCCATGGGATCAATCCCCAATACCAGAGAAACAACAACAAACAAGGAAAGTTATCATAAGGATACAAATTTTAAAAGACTGTTTACTAAAATATTTTCCAAAAGTAAAAGGAGAAAATCTTCAAGCTTAATCAGAACACTTGTTCTCATTCATTCCCAATCCAAGTAATAATCAAAATATGACTTGAATAGATTACAAATTTAATGAGAGCAAAAGAAATTAAAGCACTGACTGGCGACTAAGGAATTAATTTTTTTTTAGCTAATTGTATTACAGTTAGTTTTCAAAAACTAGCCAGGGGGATCACAAGTTGGAGAAGAGCTTTGGCAACTTAGCAAGGCCCTAAGCAACTTAGATAGGCTCTGTCTCTAAATAAAATATAAAAAGGGCTGGAGATGTGCCTCAGTGATTAAGTGCCCCTGGGTTCAATCCCCAGCAATAAACAAACAAACAAATAAGCATTCTAAAATATTCATAAATGAAATTACAGGATATCTGAAATAATGTGAGGCTTTGGGTGTACAGGGTATGGATAAAAACAAGATTTGCCAGGAGTTTGTTATGGAAACTGTGTGACAGGTACATAATAGTTGAATATACTCCAATTTCTACTTTTTCTTTTTTTAATTTTTTAAAGTTGTCAACAGACCTTTATTTTATTTATTTATATGCAGTGTTGAAAATCAAATCCAGTGCCTCACACATGCTAGGCAAGCAATCTGCCACCAAGCACAACTCCAGCCCTCTACTTTCATATTGGAATTATTATTTTTTGGAGGGTGGGGTGGGCGGTGTTTGTACCAGGATTGGAACTCAGGGACACTCAACCACTGAGCCACATCCCCAGCCCTATTTTATATTTTATTTAAAGACGGGGTCTCACTGAGTTGTTTAGTGGTTTGCTTTCTACGTTTAAAATTTTCCATAACCAGGGGGATGGTGACACTCCCCTGTAATCCCAGCGGCCCTGTAGGCTGATCATGAGTTCAAAGCCATCCTCAATAAAAGCAAACCACTAAGCAACTCAGTGAGACCCTGTCTTTAAATAAAATATAAAATAGGGCTGAGTGTCACCATCCCCCTGGTTATGGAAATTTTTAAACGTTGTAGAAAGAGCGAGGGAGGGAGGGAGGGAGGGAGGGAGGAAGGAAGGGAGGAAGGAGAAAAAGAGAAAAAGTTGAATTCGGGCTGAGGATGTGGCTCAAGCGGTAGCGCGCTCGCCTGGCATGCACAGGGTGCTGGGTTCGATCCTCAGCACCACATAAAAATAAAAATAAAGATGTTGTGTCCACCGAAAACTAAAAAATAAATATTAAAAAAGTTGACCGATACACAATTGCTATTTTTTTATAATTTTATTTATTTATTTATTTATTTTTATGTGGTGCTGAGGATTGAACCCAGGGCTTTGCATGTGAAAGGTTAGAGCTCTACCACTGAGCCATAACCCCAGCCCCTGCACAATTACTTAAAAAAAAAAAGTATTAGGATGCTTTCCATTACCAAAATCATATTTGTGCACTAAGTACCTCTATTATCCAAGTAAATAAATATGATGGAACTCAGCAAAGTGACTATAAAGTTCAAGTAAAAGTATATAAAAGGGCTATTTAAAGTATGTTTTAATTGGGATAAATTTCATTATTCATACAGGTATTTTTGTTACTGTTCAAACCTCATATCAGAATAGTTAATGGGATAATAAAATTACTTTAATATTGCACATCAGAGGTCATCAAGATTTTGTCCAAAAGTGACGTGGACTTGGCTTCTCATAATCTCCCCATACTGAGGCTATACCCAGGGACACTCTACCACTGAGCTATGTTCCCAGGCCCTTTCTTTTTTATTTTGAGACAGGCTCTCGCACTAGGTTGCCAAGACTAACCTCAAATTGCTATCCTCCTGCCTCAGCCTCTAGAGTAGCTGGAATTATAGGTGTGCATCACCAAAGCGGCTAGGTTATTTGTGCCCAGCCAGACTGCAGCACATCCCAATTTGTCCTTGATTATATTTCCTAAATCTCATTGATAATACTTCCTACATGCCTCAAAATACATCTTGCGTTTGTTACTACTTTTCCTGTCTTTGCTTACATGTGTTTTTTTTTTTTTWAAATACATTCCTTTCCCTTGTATGGTGTCTTTCTACCTTCTCAGTTTAACTAAAGCATCATCCTTCATTGTAAACCTTCCCTGAAACATCTCAGCCAGCAATAGGCATTTCTTTCACAATGATCTCTTGGCACCTAGTAGATACAAATTAAATGCCTTAAAATTTGTAATAGGTATCTGGAGTCTTTGGTGATTTTTTTTTTTTTTAAACCTCATTCTAGAAGTGATCTGAACATTTTAGGGAGGACATAGATAGTAGTAATGGTACAGATATTA